TGGAGTAGCGCCCATTGTTGTAACTGAATTTGTTTCATATCATATTGGATAGCTCTACCTCACACATTTTCCACTGATGCATCTGCTGTTTTCTTTTCTTTCGAGCATTGTTAAGAACATTACGTTTCAGCAAGGATGATGTCAGTCTTGCCTCCACCGTTTCCCAAAATGGCCGCGATTCCAGGGAACAAAGTGTGTGTGATGTACTGAATGCCTCTGAAGAACAAGTCGATCATGGTAAGTTTTGCTTACATTTGTCTTCGCGTTTTCTTCACTATTTATCGTTTCTGTACCGTCTCTTATTCTCTAGTCTATATAATAGAACTCAGCAATGTTGTGGCTCAGTTCGTCTCTGTGTCTCTTATTTCACCGTTTTCTCCAAGAAGAGAATTGCTGTGTTTATGTGTGTTGGCGGATTGAAAACGGTTTATGTCACAGCCCCTTTCTCCCCATCTGGTTCTGTAAATAGAGATTTGACAACAGGTTTAGTGGGTGTATGGCGCTGCTCTGTAAAGGTCAACTAATGAAAATGCATCTTGAACAATGCTCGATGAAATCGATAATATTTCGGTAATACTTTATTTCAAAAGGAACTGCTTCAAGTAGCGAGTGTTTCAAGACACACTCCGCGATTACTTGATGGGTAGAATCGCTTCCCTGTAAGTACTTGGGTTTGTAATATTAGACGTTGACTCACTCTGCGGCTCAGCAGTGAGTGACTAAGGCGCTGCGGTCGTCGTCCGCCCATATGAAGATGAGATACGGCAAAGGTTCTAACTCAATAGGCGGATATGTGTTTTTTCCTTTTTTTTCCTTTCTGTATAGGACCAACTTTGCCGTCGTCTTCCCGTTCTGCCATCCCTGGTCACTGATCTGTCGCCCGGGCAGCAGTATGCTTCTTCAAATACTCATGCTTTCGTGCTTTTGGTGCCTTATTTGGGTGGTATCCTTCTGGTTCGAATTTGCATTCGAATCCCATAGCCCACGAGCTGCAATCCTGGAATGTTTCTGTGAACGAGCAGGCATAATGAGTTGTATAAAAAGTCTTCGCGGTTACTCGCCACAAGTCGGTTCTGATACTGCATCTCGACCACGCTCACCCAATTTTCTCGAACAAAAATATGCTTAAAAACTACAAACCAGCTCCTATTTTTGCCGTGATAGTTCCTTAATTCGTTGCTCGTGCAGAAAGTTATATTATTCGAAAATTAGTGGAATCTCCGAAGGAAGAAATACAGGATGTGACGGGTTTTT